GCATAAATAATACAATCATTATTAATACATTCTATTGAACATTATTTTTATACACTCTACCAAACGACCCTTAAATATTTTGGGCACCACGACACTTCAAATACTTTCAGATCGTTTTCATTTCTACACATTCATCGTGCCACACCGCCCGTCGTGGTAATTTTCAGTGCAATGGGCACTGCACCGCACTGTCCATTTTAGAATAATTTTCAGTTCTCATTATATAGTAAAACACTCAAAACTTTTTGTACAGTGTTCTAATCGGTGAATGGTTCAAATTGTTGGAACCCAAACTCAATTTTTTTAATTAGGATAGGTCTTACCTCCCATACGAAAGTATTCATGGTCAAGGTTGAATCACACGCATTTAGCTAGTTCATACATAACCCAAACTTATGGATGTTACAAAGATGTTATCCTTGTGGAAGTTATTGTTCCATCTTTGAAGCACCCATATATGTTTGTAGTGATGACTTCTCTTGAAGTAGAAACTACACAGCTCATTCAGTGGTTGTGTTATGTAACTTTAGTCCTATTTTTCTATTAGAATATTTAGGATATGCTTTCCAGGACCATGTTCATTGGCGGTTGATTTGTTTATTTTGTTGGAATTAATGCATAAATGTTTAGTCTTCAAAAATTGTCTCTTAGTTTTTCAAGAAGTCTTTTTAGAATTCCGTTGTACATGTATCTAGTAAATTCTGATACATGTATTTATTTATTTGTGCAAGACTTTTTGTTTTCTATTTTGAGTAGTATAAATAGTGATGTAGTTGATGATTGTAATTATCTCAAGTGGCCTTAAGTAGCCTATAATAAACTTGAGCATTTTCTAAAGATATTATTTTTCCTTCCATATTTCCTACAAATTGGTATCAAGGGCAGGTTTTCGTTCTTAATCTAGGGTTAGGTGGAAAAAAATATGGCATCCAAAACAAATGAAGGTGCTGATTCTTCAGTTGTTCTTACTCCATTTTTTGATGGAACTATTTTTTGAATACTGGAAGATAAGAATGAGTACACATTTGAAAGCTGAAGGTTTGGTGGACTATTGTTGCAAATGGCTTTGAAGAGCCAGAAAACGATGGTGATATTAAAGCAGCAGAGATGAAAAATCTTAAGGCTAAGTATCATCAAGATGCAAAAGCCTTAAGCAAAATCCAAATGAGAGTCTCAAGAGCATATTTTGCAAAAATTGTTACTTGTGAGACTGCAAAGGAAGCTTAGGATTTTCTGCAAAACTGAGGTGTATGGTGACGAAAAGGTACGCACTATAAATCTTCAAACTCTTAGAAGAGAGTTTCAAAATTTAAAGATGATAGAATCTGAAAAGTTGATGAATATTGCACAAGAGTCATGAATATGGTTAATGTAATGAGAAATCATAGTCATACAATTTCTGACCAACAAGTTGTGGAAAAGATTCTAATTAGTGTCACTAGAAAAGTATGAGTACATTGTTGCTATCACTAAGGAGACGAAAGATATTTCTATGCTTTCCATCAAAGAGCTAGTTGGATCGTTTCATGTACACGAGAAGCGAAGATTTTTTCGTGAAGATAAACCCAAAGAGACGATTTTCCAGTCCAAAATAAATGAGAATTCTCAAAATTTCTCAAAAAATCATCAGAAGAAAAATCACAAGCCAAAAAAGAACCAGGATCATGATGTTTCTTCCAAGAAGGTTGAAGAAAAAGGTGAGAAAAACTCTAGTCTTTTTTGTAAAGTTTGCAAAAAGACTAATCACAATTCAGAAAAATATTGCCACAAAGTCAAGCCCCAATGTAACTTTTGTAAAAAAAATTGCCACGTTGAAAAGGAGTGTTGGCACAAGAAACGGAGCAATCAAATTTTTGTGAAACACATGAGGAAGAAAGGGAAGAAAATATTTTCTTAGCTTCTAAATCTGATGCTTCAACAAAAAGCAATACGTTGATAGTGATTGTAGTAATCACATGACTAGAGATGAAGAGGCTTTCCTCTCAATTAATAATAGCATCACTACTAACGTGAAGATGGGGAATGGAGCTTAGTTACGCAAAAGGTAAAGGTACTATTTCGATCAACATGAAAGGATGCGGTAAGCAAATTAATGATGTTCTTTATGTTTTTGACTTGGAAGAAAATTTGCTTAGTGTTGGTCAACTCATGGAATATGGTTATTCTCTTGTGTTTAGAGATAATTATTGCAAAATTTATGATAAAATGAGCCAAATCAAGTCATTGTTGAAGTAAACATGATAAAAAGAAACTACCTTTTGCAATTTTATTACAATGCATTAAAAAATGAAATTGTAGATGATTCATGGCTTTGACACAAAAGATTTTGTCACTTGAAGCTGAGTACACAAGTCGAGAATTTGAAGAATATTGCAAAAATGAAAGCATTCAGAAGCAACTTACAGCACGGTATACTCCTCAACAAAATAGTGTATCTGAAAGAAGAAATAAAACAATTGTTGAAATGACCAGAACTATGATAATGAGAAAGGGCTGCCAAAATATTTTTGGTCAGAAGCAGTGAATACAATAGTTCACATCCTTAAAAGGTGTCCAACAAAGGCACTAAAGGACAAGACACTAGTTGAAGCTTGGAGTGGAATTAAACCTTATGTAAGTCATTTTAAAATTTTGGGTGTATTTGTTATGCTCATGTACCTGCTGAGAAAAGAACAAAATTGGATGAAAAAGGTCAAAAATGTATCTTTCTTGGTAATAGTGATGTGACAAAAGGATATAGGCTTCTCGATGTCAAAACTAACAAACTAGTTGTTAGTAGATATGTCATTTTTGATGAAAATACAACATTGAATTGGGAGGATAAAAATATAGAGAATACTGCTATCATATCTTCAAATCAAGAAGAAGATGAGAAAGATGAAGATGTCTCTCAAGGGGGAGAAATCCCATATTTAGATAATGAAGATCCCCCTCCAGGAGGAACAAAAATATTGAGTGACATTTATCAAAGATGTAATTTTGCCGGTGTTGAGCCAGAAAATTATGAAGAAGTAATAAAACATGATGTTTCGAAGAAATCCATGGAAAAAGAAATTCGAATGATCAATAAAAATAATACTTGGGAGCTTCTGGCTATTCCTAGAGAAAGAGAAGTTGTAAGTCTAAAATGGATTTAAAAAATCAAACTCAATCAGGAAGGAGACATTCAAAAGCACATAGCAAGGTTGGTTGCTAGAGGATTCACGCAAAAACCAGGTATTGATTTTTATGAAACTTTTTCTCCAGTTTCTCGTCTTGAGAGAATTAGAACTGTAATTGTTGTTGCTGCACAAAATAAATAGAAGATATTTCAACTTGATGTTAAATCAGCATTTTTAAATGAGAAACTTGATGAAGAGATTTACGTTGAGCAACCTCAAGAATTTTTTGTTCAAGGGGGGAGAAGAAAAGTTGTATAGACTAAAAAATCTCTTTACGGATTGAAGCAAGCTCCAAGAGCCTGGTACAATGAAATTGATACATACTTTCTGAAAAATAATTTTCAAAGAAGTAAAAGTGAAGCCACTTTGCATGTGAACAAAGAACATGGCAACATTATCATTGTTTGTCTCTACGTGGATGATTTGCTATTTACAAGAAATGATGTAAAGATGATGCAAAATTTCAAACAAGATATGATGCATGCTTATGAAATGAGTGGTCTTGGATTGCTAAATTATTTCTTGGGCATCGAAGTTTCTCAAGTGAAAGAAGGAATTTTCATTTTTCAAAAGAAGTATACCAAAAGTATTCTTCAAAAATTCAAAATGATGGATTGCAGGTCTGTGGCCATACCATTAGTAGCAAATGAGAAGTTTAAAAAAGATGATGGAGAAAAGAAAGTTAATAGCTCCCTTTTTAGGAGTTTGATTGGAAGATTGTTATTTCTTACTTGAATAAGGCCAGATATTATGTTTGTTGCTAGTTTATTATCTAGATTCATGCAAGAACTAAGCCAAGTGCATTTTGAAGTTGCAAAGTGTGTTTACGCTACTTGCAAGGAACAATGAATTATGGGATAATGTACAAATTTGGTGAAAATTTGAACTTAATTGGTTATTCTGATAATGATTGTGGTAGAAGTATAGATGACATGAAGAGTACTTCTGGTTATGCTTTCTTATTTGGATCAAACATTTGTTCTTGGTTATCAAAAAAGTAAAGTGTTGTTGCTCAATCCACTGCCGAAGCAGAATATGTTTCAGCATCCAAAGCTACTTCTCAAGCTATTTGGCTTAGGAGAATATTTGAAGACATTGGTGAAAAACAAAAAAAAGGATTGTTTTGTATTGTGATAACAAATCAGCAATTGCCATTGCCAAGAATCCAGTCAGCCATTAAAGATTAAAGCATATTTACATCAAGTATCATTTTATACGAGAAGCACAAGAGAAAGACGAAATTCAGTTGCATTATTATTAGACAGGAGAAAAACTTGTTGACATCTTCACCAAAGCACTTCTTAGAAATTTCTTTTGCTATCTTCGAGAACGCATTGGAGTTCTCAAGAAAATGCATTAAGGGGGAGTGTTGAAATTAATGCATCAATGTTTAGTCTTCCAATATTGTCTCTTAGTTTTTCAAGAAGTCTTTTTAGCATTTCGTAGTACACGTATCTAGTAAATTGTGATACATGTATTTAGTTGTTTGTGTTTGATTTTTTGTTTTCTATTTTGAGTTGTATAAATAGTGATGTAGTTGATGATTATAATTATCTCAAGTGACCTTAAGTAGCCTATAATAAACTTAAGCATTTTCTAAATATATTATTTTTCCTTCCATATTTCCTACATATTTTGGGGCATCAACTATGTACCTGTTTAATGAGACCTTTTCTGCAAACTTTTCTTCCTTTTTTTTTAATGTTAACTCTTTACCTTTTTACTGGCACCTTTATGCAGACTTTTCTTCCCCTTTTTGCATTGACAAGGTTTTAGGGTTGATTGTAACTGAATTTTTCATGCACTGACTTTTGGCAATTCCCCCCTATAATCATGCAGAAAGATGACACGTTTTATACTACCTCTCTAATAATACCAAAACAAGAATCAACCTCCAATACTGTAAGTAATTCAACATTTGAACATTGTTTCTTTATTCATGGCCAATTTAGTAATCAGAACAAGATTCTAACTTATTTGTACTCACTTCTAGTGTCAAGCCCTACAAGAGGAGAAAATATTTGCCATACTAAATGGACAATCCCTCTTTCCAATCGGATGGATTCATGTAAGTTCTCTTCTCTTTCTCAATCTCCTTTAATGTGCTTCACATATATTTGGATGAGATAACTCTAATTCCTATATGTAATGCTCATTAATCCTTGAATTAAAGTGATAAATAATTGAATGAGAGCTGAAATTTAAGCGACTTAATGCATTTGGCGTCAGACCTGTACATTACTTGTTAATGGAGAATTATGTAACTTACTGAATAGAATAGGAGAATCTAAATACACAACTATGTTATATATGTTATGCGGAATTCGAGATAATACGAGAAAATATAAATACGAAAAACAAGACAACAGATTTACGTGGTTCACTAATAAATTGGCTACGTCCACGGAAAGAGGGGGAGCAGTTTTATTATGGAGAGGAAAAAAATAGAATTACAGAATAGGGTTTGCCACAGCGTCTATATATAGTGCTAAAGCTAGGCCGTAACAGGCTTGGGCCCAACATACAGAATTGACAGATAATTAAGGGCCCAATTCAAGTCATTCAACAAATCTCTACCTTGACTTGAATTCTCCAAACAGATTCTTCAGACGCACTATGATAGTGCCAGGCCTCCACCTCTTCCTCAGAATTGCCCCGCAGGGCAATTAACAACTTCTGATGTTGAGCAAGTCCAAACAGTGTTGAAACTTGCTCTGTGGAACCGGCTTTGTGAACATATCAGCAGGATTATCAGCAGTTCCTACTTTCTTCACCTTGATTCTCTTCTCACTTCTCAGAAAATGATACCTCACGTCAATATTCTTGGTTCTCTCATGATGGAATTGATCCTTGGCTAGACAAATTGTGCTCAAAATGTCACAATACACCGTAGCCTGATCATGATGCAGACCAAAATCACTAACCAGCCCTTTCAGCCAAATCCCTTCTTTTGCAGCCTC